ACTTGTGTTGTATGCAGCAGGTGCCAGTGTGAGTTAAAATACTTGTGTTGTATGCAGCAGGTGCCAGTGTGAGTTAAAATACTTGTGTCGTATGCAGCAGGTGCCAGTGTGAGTTAAAATACTTGTGTCAAATGCAACAGGTGCCAGTGTGAGTTAAAATACTTGTCGTATGCAACAGGTGCCAGTGTGAGTTAAAATACTTGTGTTGTATGCAGCAGGTGCCAGTGTGAGTTAAAATACTTGTGCCGTATGCAACAGGTGCCAGTGTGAGTTAAATACTTATGTCGTATGCAGCAGATGCCAGTGTGAGTTAAATACTTGTGTCGAGTGCAACAGGTGCCAGTGTGAGTTAAAATACTCGTGTCGTATGCAACAGGTGCCAGTATGAGTTAAAATACTCGTGTCGTATGCAGCAGGTGCCAGTGTGAGTTAAAATACTCAGGAAACAACAAACTTGTCTGTTCACCTGAAGAAGAAACACGGCGTTGATAGTCATGTTTTGTAAACTCAATATCTGTTTTAGTTTCTTTATAACTGAAAGGTCATCAGGGCACTTTTAATTTAACTGGTTTAAAAAATGCACTTAAACATGACAAATGTGAGACTATAATGAACAGGTCATTATTTTTAGTTTTTCATTAATTAAGAAAAATTATTATTATTATTATTTTAAATGCCTGGTGCCTGTAATAACAGAAATAAAATGGTTAAATCATATTTGAATTGTTTTTTTAAATGTATTTATATGTAAATGAGATGGGCATTTGATATCTCAATATATCGATGGCAGACTTGTGAATCGAAAAGAATCGAAATCGTATCGTGACAGACTTTTTGATATCGAGAAAAATCATATCGTCATACAAACTGATCAATATAATATTGTATCGTGGTAAAGCTGGTGATTTACACCCCTACCCTGCGGGCGTCCATTTCGATTCTATTCCAGTACGCACGGACCTCCGCGGACTGAGGTCCACCCGAGTATACTGGAGGCTTTAGAGCAGCAGGAGGCTCTGATGACAAGTGAATCTTTGTGTCCACAGTGGATTATGTACGAGACATGATTGTTTCAACACACCTCACTTCCTGTTTTAAGGAGGAACATCTGCTAAAAGGTCATCTGTGGAAGCTTGGCTGCTCACCCTGTATTCTGGGGCGATTTAAGAGAAAACCACAACACAGTGAGCGAAACGAAAGAATTCCCACGTTTCAGTGTGTAGTTTGTGCACGCATCAGAAAGAGTCGTGGAGTACGGACAGATCGTTGCAAAACATTTAAATATTTTAGACACATTAGTGACATCATCAAGTGGATGTCCAATCTGTAACAATCATCAGACTGAACACGAGTGTGTAAAAGATCTTCAGAACAGCATTTCAGTCCAACTTCCTGTGACACGTTGACACTTTGAACGGTGATTTCCTGATGCTTTGAGCTTCTCACCTGTTCACATAAAATCTCCATCTTTATTTATTGTTCAGCATTTTTGTTGAGAATTGTTTCGATGTCACACCTCTCTGTTCCTGATCAGTCTTCTTGATTTGGTGCACAGTTTGCACGAGATACCAGATAAAATGCATCACACAATTATTAAACATAAAATTACATCAAGGACTCCATCGACGTCACTGTGGACCCACATCAGTACGTCTACAGGAGGAACCGCTCCTCTGCTGACGCCATCACATCGGTGGTCCACACAACCCTCACACACCTGGAGAACAGAAATTGTTACATCCGTCTGCTCTTTCTGGATTTCTCCTCGGCCTTCAACACCATCATCCCACAGACCCTGGTGGTGCAGAAGATCTCCTTTCTTGGACTGAGTACCACACAGGAGAACTGGACTTCCTGACCAACAGACCTAAGACTCAGGATCCACAATGTTGTCTCCTTCTCCATCACCCTCAGCACTGGCTCACCCCAGGGCTGTGTGCTGAGCCCCCTCCTGTTCACTCTGCTGACATATGACTGCTCGGCTGGACACCTCAGCTGGGGGAGTGGTGGCGCAGAGGTTAGAGAGGTGGGCTTGTGATCCGAAGATCGCCGGTTCACGCCCCGGCCCCGACAACATCAAAATTGTGGGTGGGGTAGGTGAAACACCCACACTTGCCCCCACCCTCATTCGCCCCACTCTGGGCCCATGAGCAAGGCCCTTAACCCCCACCATGTGCTCCCTAAACAGGTCTCTCTTGAAAAAATGAGTTCTCGTGGCTCAATGAGACTAACCTGTATAAATAAAGGCTAAATGAAAAAAATATGGTGAAGTTTGTAGACGACACAGCAGGAGTGGGACACATCACCAACAATGAGTCCAAATACAGAGAGAAGGTGGAACACCTGGTGCAGTGGTGCGCAGACAATAATCTCTGCATCAATGTGAAGAAGACCAAAGAGATGGTGGTGGATTTCAGAAGGGACAAGGATTCTCTTCATCTCTTACACATCGGAGGAGCAGCTATGGAGGTGGTCTCCTGGTACAGGTACCTGGGGGTGCATCCAGTGACCTCACCTGGAAAGCCAACACTTCCTGTCTGGTCAAGAAGGTCCACCAGCATCTCTACTTCCTCAGGAAGCTGAAGAGAGCTGGACTTGGGAGCTCTGTTCTGAGGAGCTTCTATCACTGTGTGGTGGAGAACGTTTTCTGCATCTGCATCACGTGTGGCACGGCAGCAGCACTGCTGCTGAGAAGATGGCTCTGCAGTGGGTGGTGAAGACTGCACAGAAGACTGTGGGGAGCAGCCTTCCCACCACCTCGGACCTCTACACTTCCCGATGCAGGGGGAGGGCGCACCGCATCATGAAGGACTCCGCTCATCCTGCACACAGTCTGTTCTAGCCCCTCCCCTCAAGCAGGCGGCTGAGGAGCATTCAGAGCAAGAACCAGGCTCGGAAACAGTTTCTTCCTTGCAGCTGTCAGTCTGAAGAACTCGAGCTGCACTAATCCAGCTTCATCTTACATGTTTAACTTTATTATATTTATTTATACTCTTTTGTATTTTTTTATTTGTTAATTGTTAGGCTTCTTGATCTGGGACCTGAGTCTGCATTTCGTACCACAAACATGACAATGTGAGCCGGTAAGACGATAAAACATCCTGGAATCCTTGAAAATGCTGAACAGAAGCACGCCGGCTCACTTCAGTCCAACAAATACGTCAAATGTTGGAGCTTCTTTACTTTTTTGTCTCAAAGCTAATACAATCTCAAGATGTGTCCCGTTAGTTGACCTCTAGGAACCAGTTTCAACAGTATACAGTTATGCAGTACGTCCCGCTGTTTATTTTCAGGCTAAGTTTTGTGTTTTCTGTCCTTTTCGTCCAGCTGGGCAGGAATATCGAGTCCATCACTATGATCTACGATGTTGAAGGTCTGGGACTGAAGCACTTATGGAAGCCTGCTATAGAAACCTACAGCGAGGTAAAAGAGCTAAACACGTTGAACAGAACCATGACAACAGCAAGCGTCCTGAACGCTCTCTGCTTCACGACAGATCCTCCAAATGTTCGAAGATAACTACCCAGAAGGCCTGAAGAGGCTGTTTGTCATTAAAGGTGAAACTGCTCGATGACATCAAGAAGAAATGAGAAATCGAGCTCGCTTGGTGTTTTCATCTTTTATTGGAGCTGTTAGTTTTTATAAAGCTAATTTGAATAGTGAGGTTTACCTGATCAAAGCTGTTGGTGTCTCCCTCAGCTCCTAAGCTCTTCCCTGTGGCCTTCAACCTCGTCAAGCACTTGCTGAGTGAGATCACACGACAGAAGATCCACATTCTGGGAGGTGAGACCGTCCGGCTTCACAAAAGAGCTAACGCCGCAAAGCTGCAGAGTAAAACTGAGGTCTGAAAGAAGCTAAAACTCAGCTGTTGGGCTTCAAACAAACAGCAGAGGCTAAAATCAGCTAAACTAATGCTAAAGCTAAAAGTAGCACAAAAGATGCTAAATTTAGCAAAGAATTAGCTAAAATAAATAAGATGGATGGATGATGGTTAGTTGGATGGATGATGGTTAGTTGGATGGATGATGGTTTGTTGGATGGATGGATGATGGTTAGTTGGATGGATGATGGTTAGTTGGATGGATG